TTCCCCGACAGGCGCCTGCGGTTCGGCTGCGGGGGCGCTCCGGGACGCGGCCGGATCCCTTACCACCCGCCACTTGTGCAGGAGCGGGGGTCGCCGTGCGCACCCAGGAGGTTATTTTTCAGAGCAAGAGGGACAGGAAACTTTGGGTCCTCTATTTGTTTTCTTTCTGGGTATTTCCATATTTTTTTTTCCCTGAGGTTAAACAATGAGTATTCATGTAACCTGACTGTATGTGAAGCTTTTTTGCCCATACACTGTCAACCATCTTAGAAAAGCCACCTATTTTTAGACAAACACGTTCCGATGAAAAATAAACCAATTACTCTTTCATCACATCACATGGGCAAGCACTAATGACACTCAAGGTGGCACTTTATCAAATAACCAAGGCATCGCAAGAGACGTATGGAAAAATCACTTTCCCATAGCAAAGTGTGCAAAACAGAATGATCATGTGACACATCATATGTTTCTGGACATAATGGGTGGAAGAAAGCAACAGGGGCCTGTTACAGAATAGAGTTCCAAGAAAAAGGGTAGAAACAACTGAGAGAACATTGCATTTTCAAGATTAAGATAGCTTAATTTGTGTATAGTTTATTACAGAAATTCCTTTCCAAGAGAAAGGGGCATGCTCAAACATAACTAATTTTAGACAGACTTTTGGAAGGCCTGATTCTTTATCTGGCCAAATTATCTCTCTTATCAGTGACTGCTCATTAACAAGTAGCCCTGGAAATTTTGCCTTTCAGTGAGTGGCGGGAGGGACTCTTCTGTGCATGGGTGGAGCAGACAGCCGGGCTGTGGTTAGCGGGACACAAACAAGGCCTAAAGGAAAATGAGAAGTTCCTTGGAAGTGCTTAACGTGGCCAGCTGGAACTGTGAGCGGACGTGTGGGTGGACATAGCACACCATAACAGATGTCAAGCCATTGTCCCTGTGTAACAGCAGGGATCCCATCCTCCACTGGTTGTTCATGGTGTCGCTCAGGGAAAATGATCTTAGATACACCAAATCTCTGCTTAAACCCTAGTAACCTGTGTGTTTCCCAGTCCTGGGCACTCTCTGTGGGAGCAGCAGTGCCTGTGGCTAAAAAAATCCAGCTTTTGCATGGTGGGAGGGCTGACCTCACCTGCCCACGGTTAGCACAGCCTGGCCGTGCCTCTGCAGAGGCCAGCCCCACATGGGCACTGTTGTGCTCTGGATCTTGGGATTTTGGCAGTGCTTGGCCAAGGATAGCTATTCAGGAGAGAGATGGGCCAGAAGGGCCCTGACTCATCCTGTGCTGGGAAGCTGGGAGGGAGCTGGGGGTCACTGCTTGGCTGGGGGCTGCTCCTGGGACAGAGCCAGCCGGGGAGGAGGGAGCCCGGTGGGCACCTGCCTTGTCCTCCCACACGTGGGGCTCCAGCCCTCCGCACCTCACACCAGCTCTGCTAGGGTACCCTTCATGCTCACGCGCAGGATTTGGTTTTGGTGCTTCTGGTTATGACTGACAAGAAATCAAAACATGAGTTCTGTGAAAAGGTATGGCTCAAGGCCTGTTGCAGAGAACAGAGTGCAATACATTTTTTACACACATTTATTAGCACATCCAATGTACCTTAAATTTTAAAGTTATGTGAAAAAGTATTCACATGAGAGTGCCCTTAAGAACCAGTAAAATCACAATCTATGAACCACCATTAGTAAATATATAAGTAATAATCACTGGTAACAACATCAGTACTAACAGCTGTACCATCCTGTTGGTTATAAATGAACAAGGACAGTGCTGATGAACAATGACAGTGCTGGACTATAAGAAGCTCCGGGCTAATCTGTTGTAGTCTGTAAATGGAGTCTTTGCAAGCTGTTTAATTATTTTAAAAACTGGTCTGAATAGCCTTGTTCTGAACAGCCTGTCTGGTCTGAATATCCTTGTTGATAACCAGTTTCATTTCTCCACCTGGTTTTACATTTATTACAAGTCAGAAACCTTTGCTTATGAGTTCCAGGGTTTTTCTTTTTATCTCCTGCTTGCTTTCTTAACCCATCACCCCTCTAATAACACCTGGCTGGCAGTCGTGCTGAAGGCAGCAGTAATACCTGTCTAGGTGAAGTTTCAGAATCATGAGGCAAGGCCTGGCAAGAAACGCAAGGAGAATAAAGGCAGCTTGTTGCTACCGAGGCAGAAAAAGAAGTAGGGACTAGTTGATAAGAATTGGTTAGCCTTGCTTCTCTACATCCCACTTTTCATTTCTAGCTATCAGAGGCTGAGCAAAGAATAACAGTCACATCAGAGGTTTACCTTCTATTCTATCTGAAGCAGAGGTAGCTGCTCACTACCAAGACCTCTGAGTTGCAAGCAGCAACTCAATCCCTCCTTTTCCTCCCTCCTTTGGATGCCTGCTGTTCTCTGTATCCATAGTGGCAGCTCTTTCTCGGAAACATCACAATGACCTGTACACCCTACAACATGAAGCAGGTGGAAAAATGGGAAAAATATATCCATTTCACACCTAACTTCCTAGTAGATGATTATTTGATAGACATCTAAGGGTCACAGGGTGAATTCCCTAAACCGTTTTACTTTTATGTTTTGCCTTAGTTGTTGACAATAAAAAACCCAAAGAATACACACCATATGTTCTTTAACCCTTTCCTGTATGTTTCCCACACGTCTCAGTGTACTGCACGTACTGCTGTGCAAATAGCCTTTTGTTCCTAATCCCTTAGTAGTGTGTCTAATGGAAAATGAAGCACTGGTTTATTGAGGTTAGTTCCACTTACAATGTCAAATAAATTACAATTTGATGCATGGTTTACTCTCATGTAAATGTATTTAGAAAGCATTGCTGTTTTATCATACCTCTCTAGAGACAGAATTCAAGTTCAAACAGATAATGGTAAAAGAAGCCAATTTTAAAAGACATAGAAAATAAGAGCTTCAAATGGTGTTATTTAAAGTTAGTCACACTTAGCCACAAAGCAAATTACTTGATAGTAAAACTGCCTAATGTTGAGTGTTGCTGGAAAGTTGCTGTTCAGAAAGTCTACCGTATAATTTTGGTGACTAATTTTGCATACAGGGATATAATGTCTCTCTACAGCTACCATGCATTTGCCCTTCTGTTCTCCCTGCAGGTAGAGCCTGTTCATGAGTGGGCTCACCTTCAATAGGGGTGTTTGATGAGTATGACAGTGACAGGCATTTCTGTGCAACTGGGCAGAGTCAGGTTAAAGTTACAAGGTAACTCAGCATTTTCCCCCTTCTACAAGCCCTTCATGGTGGGCTTTAGAAACCTGACTGGTCTTTTTCCATAAACTTTTGAGGTATCCTTTTTTCTTTTAGTCTTTATTTTATCCCTCATTAAATATCTTTCCTACTTTATGAATAGATCATGTGATTTCCTCTGCATTCATCTTTACACATTTTTGTGGTTGATGGATTGGCAATGATGTTGGGCATTACTTTTTCTGAACCGACACCAGAGACTTTATCACTGCCTGTGCTTTGCCACTGGAGAGGAAATGGTGCTTGTACAGAAATCATCCTTCACCTCTGCTCAAGGTGTTTGTCTAGCTAAGGATTTTGTTTTCATCTCACCTCTCCCTTCTCAGAGTACACTGCAACTTTGGGACTTTCCTGTCAAGCTTCTGGTCCTCTCTTGCTTCAAACCCATTTTTTAAATCTTTGCTACCTCTGCAAAACTTCACCCCATGCTCTCACTACTGCAAGAGTGCTTGGCTCATTATCTGCTTTTCCTCTCTGTCCATATGGCCAATGGGCCTCAAGAAACAAAGTTTTATTACAGGATATTTGACCTGCAATTCACTGACCAAATGCCTGTGCATAATCAGGAAGCTATTTAAGAGGCATTTTTCCGGGGTACAGCAATATTTGGAAGTGGTAACTACTGAATTAATGACTAATTCTGCAATTGTAAACTTTCAATCTGTAATATTTTAACTCAGGCAGTAGACTGAAGTGATGGAGAAATAAACAAACAAATGATTATTCTTGGTGTCACTTTGCAATGTATATTCACATATTTTTATAAGAATAACTGTTTTACACAGGCAGAGTGCAGACTACACTCCAGGCACCATTAATGTCAGGACTATATTCAGACAGCGGTTTTAAGTTGAAATGTATCATTTTATTCTTAGGTGTTCCTCTGATCTTACTGGCATCTATATCTGTGAAAAAAAAAATTCCTGCACTGAAGGTGATTGTGTCATTAATAAACTAACATGGCTTTTTAAGGAAGGATGTGCATTTATTCCTGAAAGAAATCAAACGCAGAATCATCAATAATGTATATGCAAAGTTTCTCATCTATAAGATGTAAGATAAGGACAGATTTCTTTCAATGAAACATACTGTTATAAATTTTGCTATATCCTTTTTGAAACATATTTTTTTCAACTTTTATGTAAATCAACTGTAATGCATACTGATAATAATATAAAATGAAGTATGTCATCAGCTGATGTCTCAATGATATAAATCAGCAGTAAAGATTTATTTGAATACCTATTTTTATTTGTTATTCTTCTGCTACTTAATTCTGATTTTTGTCTATTCATTTATCATTGTAGGTGACTGAATTCTGTAATGAACATAACCAGAACAGAAAAGTACCCAATCTGCAGAACTGAATGTGTAACTACAGAAGCACATGAGAAGTATTTAAAAACTGTACAGATTTTGAAAATAATCTATTCATCAGCTTCCTAATGGAATAATTGATGATTTTGCTAAGAAATTAGCATTTATTTGAATTGAAACACAGTAAAAAAAGGCATTTTAACTTCAGACTGCACTCTTCTCAAATATTTTTAACATACCATCAAAACCAAAGGAGCTGTACAGATCGCATATCAGAAAATAATTTCCCTGCTATTGTTATATTCTAGATAATTGAATCTAGAAAGCACAAATTCAACCATTTTTGTTTGATGTAATTTCGATAGCTAGGTTCTGACATTGTTAAGAATGATGGTATATATTCCGAGTACTTGTTTACTTTCCCTGACAATGGCAGATAAAGCCCAAAAGGTTACATCCAATTGAACAGAACTGTTATACCACAAACTGCAATGCCATGGAGTCATGCCATGTCTATACCACACAGAGAACAGTACAACTAAGTAAGGCAGAGAAAGTTATACAGCTATTTATTCCAGCAATTGTACACATCAGATCTCTTCACAAACACTAAGAGCAGGCTCTAGAGCAATGACAGCCCTGATAAAAGCTATTTAGTTTTGAACATTTTCCAAACACTGTGTGGTTGTTTCCCTTTAACACAAGAAAAGTCTGTATTCCCCAGAATAATAGACTGTAAACAGCTATAATAGAGAAATATCTGTGTACTACAGATGGACAGGATTTGTGTTTTGTTTGTAAAATGAGCAACAGCAGGTTTATTAACTAGAGTACTATAATCAATTAAATTAAGAACTGTTGAAGTTTTAGTAAATTACTCTCTTGTAATTATAACAAGTAACAGTTACTTCAATTTCATAGGTTTCTTAGTCAGCAGGCTTGAAACTGTAAAGAAATAACTATTGAGCTAGAAATTATTGTACTTAATTGAGGTTAATGAATTTTTCAGATTTAAAACTATATAAATGAGATGAAGTTCAAGTCACCTCCATACTACAAAATGCTGCCATCATCTGTTCATTTCAGAGCTGTGCTGTGAGAAATTTAATCATTCAGGCACTCAGTTTAGATAATAAGTATTTTGCAGATCTATCTGACATGCTGCATTTTATTTTTCCCAGTAGCTGAACTAACTAATGAAACTGATACTAAGTAGTATTTGAAATTATTTTGAAAGAGATCAAAAGTTTGAATGATAACCAACACACATGACTATCTTCTAATATTTGTATTTTCAGCTGCAAGTTATGAAATCAGAACAAGTGAGAGTCCTCTGGAACTAAGAGGCAACTTTTATAACACTGCTTTGGTAAATACTTTGCCTCTATCAGCTGAGCATGATGGCTGAAAATCTAAGTTAAAAAGTTTTGCTAACCAGTAGTGTGGAGGTGTTTAAAAAGTAATTGGTCATTACTTTTTCCAAGGTTTCAGTGACTGCTAAAGACAAACCGAAAACAATCCTTATTTCATAGTGATATGAAAAAAACCACCAAACCCAACCCACCACACATAGAAGAATTTAGCTAATATTTCTGTCCAATATTTCGGAAGAAGTGGGATGATATAATTTCATACCGTGACCATCAGGAGTTATTTTTTTATACACTAGGAAAACAGATGGAGGTAAATCTTCAAACTGAAGTACTTTTAAATGCATGTGCCCAGATAAATTTCACACAGTAATTTTAAAAGAATTGCACAAGACCCTCAGCAGCAGTTTACTCTCTTGATTATTAATGACTCTTACAATATCACCAAGACATAGTGTTTTTTAAAAAGGCAGAGAGGATGAACTGCAAAATTATTGGAAAATCTGTTTAACATCTGTTCCACAAAAAGAATAGGAAATCCGATAGAATATTCAATCAATAATGAATCAAAGGATGAAAATATAATCAGTGTCAATCACTACCACTTTTTTTTTTCTTTTTTTTTTTTTTTTTAATGCACCTCCTTAATGAATTAGGAACTACCTAGCTGGGAGATCTCAAAAAGTAGCTGGTAGGGAATCATCACCTAATAGACATTTCTCAAAGGATTACAAATCAGTGGTAGGCATGATGCTATTAAATACTTTATCAAGGAACTGGAATAAAATATGTCACTTCTGGACAAGTTTCAGTATGAAATGAGAAAAAATAAGGAGGAATAGGACAGGCACACAGAGTAATCTGGCTTGCTTGCAAACTGTTCCCACACAATAGAAACATATTTTATTCCAAATGGAATGGTTATTCATCTAAAGGCAAACAATGCCATTTAAAAGGGGTTAGTTTATCATACCAAATATTGTATATAGAACTTGTCAACATTTTACTGGCTCACTGATCTAATCTTGCTTTTTCTATTGTTTCAATTCAATATTACATAATTATTTCATTGTTCAGATTTTTTTGCCAGGAAATTCCAGTTGTGTTTTTGCAATTATTTCTCTCTTCTAAAATTAATAACAGATCATAGATCACCTGAAGAGGCATAAGGTAATTAATTTTTTTTTTTTTTTTTTTTTTTTTTTTTTTTTTTTTAGTTCACAATAAAATACCAAGTATTTCTTCCTAAAATTAACATGTAACTAAATGCAGGCAACATATAGAATATAACTAACTGTACTCGCACAGAACATGAGTGTCTTGTTGCAAACTGTTACACCTTTTTTTGACACAAAAGCCTTCTAGGAATGAAGAGGTGTGAATCCCTCTGGGATGAGGCACAACACAGTGAGTGAAAGTTTTGGCTTCGTGGAAAGCGTAGCATTACCATGGCGAGAGCCCCAGCACACTGACACCAATCAAAACGGGGACCCAACACAGCGGAGCCCTGCTTGGGAGTGAAGCTCAAGGAAAATCAGCGAAGAGGTGGATGGTAAAACTTGCCCCAGTTAACATACATACATAAGCAATGTCCTGTTTGGCTCATTAGAGAGCTTGCTGATGTAATGCAGGTCTTGTCCCGATGCGGAGATCTGCAGCTGGCTCATGCTAGCGGCTGTGCAGTGTGGGGGAAGCGAGTGACTCCAGGTTACTGTGACAATAAAACGTGCTTGGGACACTACGTACTCGGATAGGGGAGGTGAACTATCCTGGGTTACTGTAACAAAGTCTGACACCCTAAAGGCAATCATATAAATAAGACTGATAAGCCATTGCTTTTCTAATCAAGAACATCACGGACAGGAACAAGTAATGAGGTTGATGAGGAGTCTGATATTTTTGCTGTCTTTTCAGCTCCTGCATGTGGCAAAAGGTTCTATGGTATGGCTAAATAAGAATGGCTATGAGGATTTAGTTGTTGCAATTAATCCCCAGGTGCCAGAAGATGCCAACATCATCCTGAACACAATGGTAAGAACATTTGCATTTACATGCATTCTCGGGAGTTTTGGCTTGACTTTTCTGCTTGGAAAGTAGCATGAATTAGGTCCAGCTCCTATTCATGTCAATAGGTTTTTTTCTTGCTTTTTTGAATTAATCATGGATTAATCCCATAGTTACTAAACCGGTAATTTCTAATTTGCCTTGCCATCTGCTTTTGCTACTGAGAGCACTAATTCCCTCAGACAATGCTGTAATATCTCTACTGGGAGGTAGACTGAAATTCCTTTAAGTAGCTTTCCAAATTATATTTACCTGAAAGAATGTCCTATGAATGCTTGTTTAATAGCCATTGATTATACTACTCTGTCATTAGGTAGTATGTCTCATAATGGTCCTTTAAAAATTCTAAATGGAAAATAAAAGGTTAGGTTTAGTGGCATTTCAGGGCTTAATTTTTATTTCAGTCCACATAGATGCCTTAATGGATAAATTCCCTCAGAATAGGATGTTGGCCAGGTTTCAAAGCAAAGAAATTGTTTTCTACAGTCAAATCATTTTAGAGAAAAGCTGCTGAACAGGACATTTATGACAAATGCCCAGGTTCTTCAGTATGTCTAATGCCTTCTAGACCCTGATGTAGGTTTATGTCAGTCCCATGTCATCTCCAATATCAAGTACAAAGGGTACCATAACATTTCCAGATTTCTTTTTTCTTGTGAGAAGAAGTTTACATGAAGTAAAAGTGGATCTGGTAGTTTACTTTTTATAATCAGTCACTGTCTGTCCCCTTTTTTAGCAATAAGTAGAGTTTAGATCAATTCATTTTCATTAAGGGACAAACCACGGAGTGTTTTTTAGGGTAGAAGTGTAAGAGTGATGGTTACTGTTACTGTGAGATACCTACCACATATTCACATCATAGCTGACCTTATGAGATCTTGCTCTTACACTGTTCCTTCAGTTCCTTTGAACTAGTTAAAAATACTTTGTTCTACCTGCAGAGCAGGCAAGGGGTCGCTGGGGACAGCTGAAGTGGCACATCCCGTTATTGCTCAAATTCTCCTGGATTAGCACTCACTATCACTCTCAGTCCTGGCAAACCAAATCTCTTCAAGAAATCTCTTTAACTGAATTTTCTGTACATGTAATGTGGATCTTTGACTCACGCCTCTGTCACAGCTTTCTTCTTAGTTTATGAAAAGCCTATGGGATAGATTTTATTTCTCTTCTTCTCATTTGTTTTTTTTTCCACTAAACACTTGTTAGTGGAGAGAAAAATAAAGGGAATGCTTTTTCTGATGCCTCTATTCCAAGAGAAGTGGTAAAAGAGCAAGAGGAAAGTAAAGTAATGGTAGCATATAGTAGCCATAATACAAAGAAGATATGCAAAATAGAGAATTTGAGAGAAAAATTATGACATTAGTCAGATAAATGAAAAGCAGGTGCAATGCTGAATCTTGCCAACACTTAGTGTCAGGCCAGTATTAATTTAAGGGTAAAATCCTTGTATTTAGTAGGTTTCATCTCATATGAAGTCTAGAGTGCGAATTTTTTCACAATCTTTGATTAAAGAGGAGAATTATAGAACTGGTGAGAGATTTCAAGGATTACAGCTTAGTCCTTTGGCTTCTTTGTTTATTCTTTTCTTAGCAAATATTGTAATACTTTCTTAGTTTGTGTTATGTACTTAGTTCTACTTAATTGTATTGCTGTTTCTTGATAAGGCTAAATTATTCATTGCACATACAGGCACATGTTAAATATTAACATTGTATTAATACTCTGTTTTCTTTCATTCCCTAGGACATGATTAAAAATGCTTCTAATTACTTGTTTGAAATGACAAAACATCGATTTTTCTTCAAGTCTGTAAAAATTGTAATTCCTAAAACGTGGAAGAAAAAGAGCAACTATTTAAGATTAAAAACAGAATCATACGATAAGGTATGATTTAGAGAACTCTATGATTAGAACAACAAGGAGAAGCTAGACTGGTAAGGCTACATTATGAATCACATCAAAATCTAGGACTAATCCTGGAAGTTCTTGCTCAAAAGTATGGGGAATGTTCGTAGGATAAAAAAAATTGCAGGACTGAATTTATTCAACATGAATCGCCTAACTCTTCTCTACACCCATATCATTTATAACTTTGTTCTTACTTTTTCAGGCAGATGTCATCATAGCAGACTCTTATATTAAACATGCAGATGATCCTTACACCTTACAGTATGGAGGATGTAAGGAGAAAGGACAGTACATCCATTTCACACCTAACTTCATTTTAAATGACAACTTGACTGAAGTTTATGGAGAAAAAGGTAATACTACTATTTAATTTAATTGCCTCTTTTGTTGTTCATATGAAATGCCTAAGATTAATGATTTTGGATACTTATTTGCTTCCTAAAATGAAAAAAAGTTGAGACATATTTTTCAGAAGTAGCAAATACCTGTGAAATGTCTGAAGTTAAATATTCAAACACTGGATCCAGAAGTAATTTATCCCTTTGAAAACCTTAAATAGCTATTCTTCTGCACTTAACTACTGCCATTAGCGATAGCTTTCCTTTTATGACCACTTACCAAATAAACTATCCGGTTTTGTGTATCTGATTTTGCACTACACTGGTGTCAAAAATGTGAGGGTTGCTGCTCTGTGGGACAGAAACCTCACAAAACCTAAATTTCCTTAAATTTTTGCCAACTTGGAAGAAAGCTTCTAGAACAGTTCCTGCATTTCTGAGAGTCAAATATGAATAAAAATTCTAGTCATGGTTGCTAAACTGATGCTGCCTTAGTTTTACCTCAAGGAAAAGTTATTATCCCAAGTGCTTCACCTTAGATAAGAATTAAATTGTTAAAATGTCTATGTAAATCACAGAGTAGCTTTTAAACAGTTGTATTTAGAATGTGCATGTGCTATTCTTTTTCAACAGGTAGAGTTTTTGTCCATGAATGGGCTCACTATCGGTGGGGGGTGTTCGATGAATATAGTAGTGACATGCCTTTTTATGTGTCTAGAAATTCTGGAGAAGCAAGTGTTGAAGCAACAAGGTATTAATTTTTTTTTTTTTCATATTTCTGCTTTTACATCACACAGGTTTAAACATTTCAATAACGTTTTCAATATTCTCATCACCTGTGCTGAGTTTTTACTTTGTAGAGTGTCCACAACCTTTTCATATGATCACAAGATACTTAGTCAGCAACATGTATTGCTTGCTCTGCAGACCAGAAAACCACAACTGCCTTCAGTGCAGTAAGAGGTTTAGGAGATGAGGCTGGATAATCTTTTGCTCTGTGCGCAACTGCAGACTTCAGCCACCATTTGTTTTGCATTCACTTAACATAATTTTGTTAAAGAGCAGTTATCAACACCACTGAAATTGCCTACTGAAACCACCATGATTTTAAACAGTTTCTACAAAGAGGAATAATAACTGAATGAATGTAGAGAATTAGTTCAGGCTTGCCTTTTTTTCCTAGCTCAGGCATACCAATACAGTGTTCTGTATTACAACTACTAGCAGGATATCTTTACTGCATAGTCTATAATTATCACAAAGAAGATCACAAAAGACCGCAAGTGTTTTATGCTTTTTGCTATTTCTAGATTAGTTTGAGGACCCTGCCAAGCACAGAGACAGTCTACCTATGTACTTGTGCAGTGTCTAGTACAGTGCTGTGCCATCAGCAATTTGGATTTGGGCAGCAAAAATTCAAATAAATAACCAGTTACAGACTACATATGGGTTCTTAACCAGCCCTGCCTATCTTCTATTTCCTTAGCTGTCCACCTGGTGTGACCGGTACACCTATTTTCCAAGACTGCAACAGAGACAAGTGTGAGCCAAGAAGATGTAGATATGATGGTCAGCTATATGAAAAAGGATGTATATTTATTCCAGATATACAACAAAATATCTCATGGTCTGTTATGTATTCGCAATACATACCTTCTGTAAGTATTACTATACCTTTCTGGACTGAGAGTCTAGTCAGTTATTTCTGCTGGGGACAATGATCAGTCAGGTGTTTAATTAATTTCTGTTTCAAAGAATACGGATGATGCTATCAGTTCTATTAACATCTATTCAAAAGGGAATATAAAGAAGCTACTAGAAATGATGTGACAGCTCTTTCCTGTCAATAAGGGTGAGATGTACTGCAGTGTCGGCATCCTTCTTGCTCCATGTTTGGAGAATCAGGTCAACAGGCATAAAAGTGAAGCATTCTTGCCAAATGCCTTGTTCATAACTATACTTTTTGGTCACTCCTTATGTAAACTGGCACCTGAACAGTGTTACCTGGTTAGCTCTATTACACACCCTTGGAAAGCAATCTGTTTTACCTATCCTTAACACACAAGCAGCAGCCCACCTCTCTTGAAAGCATCCAGGACAACCAGGCAGACTTCCTTAGGCCAGCTCTGTACTGTTCCAGTGTCTGGGAAAGGGTGCTGGGACAGCAGTTAGCAGGACGGACAGTCTCCTTGCAGGTTAGATTTCTGTGGTACGGGATCACAATTCCCCTGGCTATTGACCTTATTTCTTTGGGCAAGCTCTTTCCAAGAACTTTGTGGGTGTACTGGGCCTGGCTAGGATACGGTTAATTTTCTTCATAATGGATCATATAGTGCTATGTTTTAGAGTTTTGACCAATAACATACTAATATTCTAGCCTTAGCTGAACAGCACCAAGGCCTTTGTTTCTCACTCTGCCCCTCGTAGTGAATAGACTGGGGGATGCGCAGTAGGCTGGTACAGGACACAACCAGGCAGATGACTGGAACTAACCTAAAGAGATATCCTATACCATATAACATCATGATCAGCAATGAAAGGGAAAAGAGGAGTTTGGGAGGGTTAGCCTTATGCTCAGGAACTGGCTGGGCATTGGTCTACCTGCAGGAGGTGGTGAGTGATTGCTTTTGAATCACTCAGGTTTTTTGTTTCTTCTTTCACTTATCCTTCACTTATTAAACTTTTTTTTTTCTTTGTTTTGTTTTATCTTGACTCTAAAGGGTTGGTTTTTTTCTTTTATTCCTCCTTTCCTCTTTCCCCATCCTACTGGGGAGAGGGAGAAAGTGCGGTGCTTATCTGGTTAACCAGAAGTGTGGTTAAACCATAACAATGGGTCAGGGTCTTCCCTCAGCAGTATGCTGTGGACATCCTGAGACATCGATAAGATTACTTCCTGCTTCTCTGAAAGTCTTGACTTTGTACCTTTTGCATGTTTCCTTATTCCACTCAAGCAAACTTACAGGAATTGGTTCAAGACTATCAGCCTAACCCAAGAAGCTGGTTAAATATTCTGGCTGTTTATTTGTGCTGACATCCATGCTGTCCAGCTACTGTATCTTTGTTAGCAGGCTTAAATCTAGCAGGAACTCCATGAATCAGTCACTCCAAGCATCTCAGAACTCACAAACTGAAATATTTGTTTCTGCATGTGTCTGTTTATGTAAAATCTGCGATTAGTTCTTCGGGAGCACTTTCTTTGTTTGCCTTGTCTAAGATCCTGGCTGGCCAGGCACCATAGCACAGAGCATGTTCACTGGAGATGAACACTTCCATTTGTCTTGCCCCCACCACAAACTTCATATTTCCTGAGATATTTTCTTATGCTTATACTGTTGGGTTCAGAATTATTATCAGCTTCAATCTGACTTTTTAGGTCGAATTTTGTGACAAAACCACTCACAATAGTGAGGCTCCAAATATGCAGAATAAGATGTGCAACCACAAAAGCACATGGGAAGTAATTATGGAATCTGATGACTTCTGCAACTCGGCTGTTGTAAATACTTCTGCACCCCCCTCGGAGACGACCTTCATGCTACTGCAGACCCAAGACAGGGCAGTCGCTTTAGTACTGGATGTTTCTGGAAGCATGTCAATGGTAAGAATAAGCATTTTATAAGCAATTTTTAGCAGCAATTGCAAGAAGCAGAAAAAGTTATAAAAAAAAAAAAAAAATCAGTCAGTTCTGTAATTAACGATTATTTTAGGGGAAAAAAAAAAAAAGACTGCACTGAGTTGTAGGCCAGACTTGGTCTTTTTTTTTTTTTTTTTTAATGGTAAAATCTGTTTTATATACATCCTTTGCTCCACACCTAAAACAGCAATGCCATTGTATTTCTTCCAAGCAGAAAATGTATCATAGATGGAGTTTCACATTTTATTTTTGTTATGAATCATTCTAAAATTTAAAGTAAATATGTAGGTCACAATATGTCAACAAATTAGACGTTCTTTCCTTATTACAGTATTGCTCTTGATTGCTCTACAATCAAGACTGTGAACTGGCATAATGTTATGTCATTTTAACACAGTTGAGGTTGTTTTTCCTTTTCTTTTTTTCCCCGTAAAACTTTGCATAGGTTTATTCTTTCATAGTGTCTTGTGGCATGAGATAGTAAGCTTCTTTATGGATGCAAGGTTTAGTAAATGTTCCTGAATATGTGCTTATTTGCATAAATATCCTAATACTTTTATAAAGCTGTAAGCAATGTAGGAAGAATGTCATCTGTAGAAAGATCACAAAATTATCTGGGTAGGTAAGGCAGCTATGTCATTATTTATTAATAGACTTCAAAACTCTATACATGCTTTTAAAAATCAGCCTATATATTCTTTTGATGACATACTGCATTTTCTTATCTGTAACTTACCTCCTCCACAGTTCAGCAGTGAGCCAATGACCATTACTCTTACTGAAAATACCGCAATTTCAGTGTTTCATTTCTCACAGGAATTCAAGTCTAAAGATGACTATTCATCTAAAGAAGGCAATTCAAAAAGCTCAAACGTGTTGAGAAATAGTCATACCTTAAACCAAAATATACATGAAGAAGCATAAAGCAGTATATGCTCTAACTCTTTAGTTATGGCATACATATAATAATGGGATTCTCCCATAGTGTTCCATCAACAGACCTATTTCTAGACATGCCATTCTAGTCCAGAGCTGTTCTTGAGACTGATTTTCAGCAAAGATCTGCAATTGTAACAAATTATATTATTTTTATAAGACAGATGTCTATCAATGATAGTACATTTTTTAAAATCAATTAGTAGATAATCATGTAATACTAAAAACCAAAATGAAGATAATTATGAAATAAATATTGCAAGCATAGCTATCTCCAGAGATGTTTTCAAACATAACTTTTTTTCAGTAATCCCTTCAAATATTATAATTTAAAATAGCCATACTTCTAGTTTAATAGTATTTATATTTTCAAAATACTTAGTCTCTAGACTAATCTACTCCTCAGGCATGTAGGTGTTGTCCTTTTGCATCCCATCATGCTATCAAGAAAAAAAGTGACAAAAATCTTAATCGGAATGAAGTCATCACATCAGAAGATGGACTTTGCTTGGTGACATCTTTCCTGGAAGCTGCAGTTTGCTGCACTTTTACCAGAACATGGTTTACATCTTCTCTCTTCTAGAACTGAGCATACATATGAATTATCTTATAGCAGACAGATTGTTTTTAATTTTTAATTACAAAAAATTCCTACATTTTGTTCATAGTTATAGCTTTTCAGAAGAGATTGCATTCTAAGGATGTTGTGGGTTTTTTGTTGTTTTTTTGGGTTTTTGTTTTTTACATACAGTACAACCGCATCAGACACCTCCGTAGTGCTGCAGGAGTATTTCTGCTCCATATTATTGAAATTGGTTCCTGGGTTGGAATTGTCACATTTGACTCTGATGCATCTGAAAAAGCTCCTTTGCAACAAATAACCAGTGAGGCAGCACGCCAAAAACTTGTTCAATGTTTGCCTACAATTGCTAATGGACAAACTAATATCTGTGCAGGCATACATAAAGGACTTAAGGTAAAGTATCAATATAATGTGGAAATACCTCCTGGAATATATGGAAAATGAGGAAGAAGTGAGAAATATACTAGAACATGGACTTCCTATGCAATGGTAGTTAAGAAAGATAATATGATTCTTGTACCTGTCTGGGGAAAATTTGGTGTAGAAACTATTTGACATTACCATTATATGGGATTAGAAAGAGTATTACCAGGAAACAGGCCAGATGTGATGTCCATGCTTCAAAAAGGATATTGAAAAATAAGATCAAAATCCAAAATTAACTACAAGAATGATCTAAATTTTGGAATAATTCTCACAGTTCACTAGTCATGAATCAAGCCCCTAATACTGTGAAACCACATACAAATCTCAAGCTTGGGAAACAGTGATGGATATATATTATTATTTATTTGTCTGTTTTACTTCCTTGGATGGCAGTCTGAAGTGCCAGAAGATGTCACCTAATTCAGATGCAAAACTGAAAATCAGGAGCAATGTGTAGGAAAGAGAGCAATGTGTAGGAAAGAGAGAAATTGTACAGAGAAGCATGAGACCACTGAGGTAGCTGAGATCTCTAAGGCAGAGAGGAGGGTCAGGACAGGGGTACATCAGGAGGAAGACTGGCCTCCCTCTTGGTTGTCCCCTACCCCTTTCTGCCCCACCTTCAGTTACTTCAGAGTACATCCTTAGACAGAAGTCTGCCCTCTACTCCTGAAATTTTGATTGAAGAATAAAGAGTAGTTCCAGACAGTGGGCATAAGTTTTTAATATGATCCCCTTAAACATCCAGTCCCTGAACGAACAAAACATATACAGCCAGAATGCTTCTGACATCTTCAACTTGGGACAGGTTCCCTCCCTAGGAAAACATATATTAAATACTCATTATTTATAATGGAACATTTATTAAATCTAAGCAGTTAGATCCCGCAATATCAATTGCAATAATTAATATTGTACTAGTTTTAGTGTTAAATAAAAATTCAAACTCTTATTATCAAGTTGTCTATATTTGAAGTTAACAGCTCTAAATGCATACATTGACTGTTCTCTGGGATAAACTAGTATTTAAAAATTATTCTTCTGCTTATGTCATTAATTCTTTTCTTGATGTAGTTAATTGCAGATAAAATGTATACTACAAATGGTTCAGAAATTGTGTTACTGACAGATGGAGAGGACCCAGGTATGGCAGCTTGCCTTGATGTGGTGAAACAAACTGGGGCAAAAATTCACACCATTGCACTGGGGCCATTGGCAGCAAAAGAATTAGAAGAATTTTCAAAACTAACAGGTAAATACTCTTTCTCTGGCATGCATATTCAAGTATGAAAATATAAAAGCGTAGCAATTCATTGGTCTGGAAAAAAGAAATGTCAGAAATTTAAAACAAATTTAATTTTAAATAAATTTGGTTTTCATGACAGGCTTTTTTAATGCAAACAAGCAGAACTCTTTAGATCCATAGATTTGCTTTAAAAGCTGTCTTGATTTTAAAAATGCAGTAACATGACAATACCTTTAATTAAGGAGATTTAATTATGATATTGCTATATAACATAAAAAGAAATTTCTGGCATTGCATGCAATGATGAAAACTTTCTGTATGCTTTTACTTATAACCGTTTTTCATTACATAAAGAATAATAATTTTTTTCCAACTGTTGCAGCTGAAGTGCACTGCTAGGAAATTGTAAACACAGTGAATACGGTTGTCATTAGCAAGCCTAGCTGTCTTCTGAGCTGGAGCTATATAATTAGTTTGAAAACAAGCATTTAAAAACTATCCACAGGGGTATTGCTTCATGCTACAGCACCTGCTAATACCACAGAACAATGAAAACTCCTTGTGTAGACCTAGAAAGTAAGCTGACTCCAAACAAATATAGTGAATAAATATTCTTATTAGAGGAATGCACATGCTGTACATTTTGAAACTACAATCCACTTGTTTTCACAATTTAAATAATTTGGAAAACCGTTACATACTCTTCACCATCATTAGATCAACATGACTATGGGAGAGTCCAGAGCTCAATTCTATTCTGGCCTCTATGCTAAGACAGAATTTGTTGTTTAAGCTCCACTTGCAGCATATTTATTAAGAATGATTTGCGAGTTAGAAAGAACCCAAATGGTCCTTCAGTATTCAATCAGCAGGCCTTCCTGCTTAGAAACAAAAATCAGTTTTCCAAAGATACTGACTACACCCCTGAGCTAACACCTCCTCCAGCTCATATGACTCCACGTGTTCTCTCATGAGACAGAGCCATACAACTGATGCAACCTGCATATCTTCTGTCAGCCTGTGTGTACGGGATGGGGATGAGAGGTGGTAGGTGGTAGGGAGGGGCTGTGGGCAGCCTCTGCATACTCGAGTAGGCTCCCCAGGAGCACAGTTTATGTCTGGCATGTATGGTCCTACTTTGAAAGAGACTTGCAACAAATGCACGAACTGCAGATGTTTCAGTAGAGCAGTATGAAGCCATATTCACAATGCATTCGTTAACAGACCTGCACTGATTATGAGAACCTCCAATGGACTGGAGCTGCTTGAAGGCAGTATGCATGAAAAGAGATCTAAACTTCACATTTGGGAATAAAAATGATCTGGATGTTAAGAGTCAAAAATCATGGAAGGCCACTGTGTCTTTTCCACAGAGGTATTTTCAGAGCAGAATTTCACTGAAGGGATAGTATGTGACTCCAAAAGTACTAGGAGAAGTCTATAAATGCTGTACTTGATGATATGCCCCAGGGAGTGGATTTTTTACAAACTTTGCCAATGACAGATAAAATGAGTTGATCACACCAGCCAGAATTTACTATGACATATGCATTAACACATTAATAATTATTTTTTGTTTTTGTAACATATTGGCTGCCTCATTAGAACTTTCAGTACCAGAAGTCATATAAAACTTAGCAATTGTAGAGTGAAAAATAGTGTTTCTAATTCTTCTGCTCTTGTCTTTCAGGAGGTTTAAGGCTTTATAGTGTAGATGGAGTTGTCCCCAGTAAATTAATTGAGGCATTCAGTGCAATTACATCAGGAAGTGGAGACTTTTCTGAACAATCCATTCAGGTCTGAATTTCAACACTTCTTTTTCCTTCTATGCTTTCAGTTTATCAATAATTGAATTAATTTAGACATTAATGATCATAATTGTCAGTGGCTCAATTTGGAAATAGGAGCAAGTACATTTTTTAGTGATATTTGACATTTCACGGCAATGAAACATTTATAATTCACATAATTTATATAATTCATGATTTCAAAAAATCAAGAAAATTATTTCTCATAATTGTCAAAGTCCAAGAGACTTTGAGAGAAAAAAATGCAAGCAGAACACCCCCCCCACCCCACCCCCCCGGATGTTTAGTTTACTTTTACACAAAACATTATCTTTTAAAGCATTTAACAGTGTAACTTGATTGTAACAAAGATACAATTCAAAATACAGCTTTTCTTCTAAGCCATATGTAGCATTCTTATGTATAAACTTTTAGACTTTTAATCTAGGCCAATTCTTAATTAGAATTTAAAAACTCATTCCTCACTTTGTTAATATTTTAACACAGATCCAGTCCTATGTTTTATCCAAAATATACCACTCACAAAGATGTCTAGATTATAAACAGCAGATAATGATGATCAAACTGCAGTGGAAATACAGTTTGCTGACACAATGCTTTGGATAGGTAGATAAATAGTTTAGATATAGAAACGAAGGACTTACACTTACTGTAGTTTGTTGTCTACCATCATTTTACACTTCAAATCAATGTTACTATGCAAGCAGCCATTTATTTCAAAAAGTGAATATGGGATTTTATTAGTTTTCTTCATTCAGTAGTTGTGCCAAATGGCTCTTAAATTTTCCTGTAGGTAGAGACAGAAGAACTAGAAAGCCTGCCATCTTCTCCATGTAACTCTGAGTTATAAATAAGCAGGGATCTTTTTTCATGATAGTTTCCAAAAGGTATAAATGCTTTTCAATTCTCTCCTCCAAAACTAATCCATTTTAAATCAGCAATGAATAGATACAATATTGTACAATGGATGAGGAATCATTCTGAAAATATGTTAAGTGTTTCTTTACTAAATAGTAATAAGAAATTTTATTCCTCTAACAACAGCTTGAAAGCAAAGAGCTAGTTGTTCTGCATTCTGAATGGATGAATACTACTGTGCCTGTTGACAAAACTGTAGGAAATGACACTTTCTTCAGCATTGCATGGAGTCTATCTCAGCCATTTTTCTTCCTGAGGGACCCCAAAGGAAAAGAATATGGAATCTCAGACTTTACAATCGATGATTCAAACCCAAACACAGCTAGACTCAGTATAAGTGGCACTGCAGAGGTAAAGACAGAATTTTTTAAAAAAATTTCTGAATTAATGTTCCCTATAGACTAGCATACAGCTTTTATTTACTTAATTTTTTATTATATAAGGGAAACAATGGTTCTGTTAGAACATGAAGATTTTTCACTAGTTTTTAAAATTTTTGTATTTTATTTGCAGGTGGGTGATTGGCAGTTTTGTATTAAAAATATTCATACAGCAACTCAAGTTATATCAGTAACAGCTGCCTCTCGACCAGCACATTCTGACATTCCTCCTGTGAGCATCACAGCTTACATGAACAGGGCAAATAGAGCATTTAATCCAGTTGTCGTTTATGCAGAGGTTAGCCAAGGGTTTGTGCCTGTTCTTGGTGCAACTGTGATAGCCACCATAGAGAAGGATGGTGCTGCAGCAGTAACCCTTGAACTTCTTGATAATGGTGCAGGTAAGGTTCCATACACATAGTAAAAACCTTTGCATTTATGCATTTTGGAATCCAAGTTTGCATGCTCCCCTCAGGTTTATCACAAAGGACTGAATCATGGCTATACCTGTATCAAGAAAAAAAAAAAAAAAGGGGGACAGAGGATCCTACTGCTTTAGGACAGAAGTAAGCTACAGAGCTTTTTCTCAGTGAGGAAAACAAAGACATGGCCTTTACCTGAAAAATTGTTCTGCTTTCTTTCCTGTGTGGTTATTGAGGGTGAAAGCAGAAGTGTTCATGGTAGTGCGTACATTGCTCATACCTCTTTCTGAAAGTGTACTGCATGTAATCATTGACCCTCAAAAGGCAAGGTAAAAAGAAAACAAGCTGTTTTGTTAGTCCATCTCATATTCTAGGAAGCTGGACTACAGTCTTAACATTAGCTCACCAAATATTAGCTTTATCTCTTTTGTATGTTAAATAAGTTCATTATTGTTCTTTTCAAGAATACTCTTTCTTAGAGCAATAGCAAGACATTCCCGGCATTCAGCATCCCTGATCTCTTTTCATACTCCTCTTCCTTTTCTTTCACCACTGCTGTAGATTTGTAGCTTTATAAATTCAGTGGTAGCCAGCAGTGCCTCCTCATTCTGTCCTGACTTTCACATTGCTGTACTTAAAAACATAAGAAGATTTCAATGTGTTATCCTGTGTTTCTCAAACATCTACTTCCTGAACCTGCAAGGTTATTTTTACACTGCTGCCAGGCTTTAAAATAGTTAGTTTGGATGCCACCAGCAGATCATCTATACTGCAGCCAGTCAAGTACAACTGCACAAGTTCACTTAAAGAGAAGGAATCCTGCTTGATGAATTCCTGGCCAAAGGTTAAATTACAGCATTCTTATAATTAAAAGGTGCTTTATATAGTAGATGGCTAATAAGTATTAACTTGGTGGTTTCATACAGTAACAAGAGATTTACCTATTTAAAGGTGTTAATGCAGAATGGCTATTTTTAACAAAATACATATGAAATGCAGGTTGTCATAGTGGGGCCACTCCTATTTTTAAAGATGTCCACATTACTAAAACACTGTCAGGTTTCTGCATAGTAATGCTCAGGTTTTATGTATGAATAAGCAAAAATAATCTTGTTTACCAGCAAGTATCTTGTTTAAGATATTAATTCTCAATAATTCTATACCAAGGTGCTGACACGATGAAGAATGATGGCATCTACTCAAGGTACTTTACTTCTTTACAAGGCACTGGAAGATACAGTCTAAAAGTGAATGCCCATGGGAGAAATACAACCACCAGACTTCGCCTCAAGCAAAATCAAGCCTTCTATATACCAGGCTACAGAGAAAATGGTAAAGAGTGTTTATGAAACAGACAGTTCTTTGCATGGTTTGTATATAGGAGGGTGTAAAGGTTTTAGCAAATGGGATCATTTAGAGTCACAAAAATTGCATTTGATCTTAAAAGATGTTCTATCTACTATTTTCACCACAAAAAAGCCCAAACAAAACAACCCAGCTCCAACTACTGTTTTCTGTATATGAGAACAGCATAAAATCTTGTCTTTAATCTAAAAATTATTTTCTTTTACAGCCATGAGAATGATAAATATTGCTCAGATTTGGTATTTCAGCATCTTACAACAGGAGCTGCAAATCTATAATTATTCTTGAGACTTTAAAATGGGGATTTGGGGTAATTAAGTTCATCATGCAACATCAGTATACAAGCTAATGCTGCTAGAAAACTTAGCTTTTAAGATTTCTTGATTTTTTTAGTACTTTTTCATCTTAATGCTGACAAAAATAGTAGTTGTTGCAATTTAATATCCTCAGTTACACACTGTGAAATTTAGAAAAATAAGCATAAAAATTGTCTAAAAGCCTCACAAAGTATGGTCTATATAACTGAAAGTCTCTTAAGGCCTGCAATATGGGTGAAGATATGGATAGAACTACCTTATTGCAGCCATGGCTCACCAACATCTGCAACCTGCTTTACTGCTTGCAGTATTTCCATTTTTTACACATTTTAGACTTTGCTTTTTGGGTTTCCTAAATTTTATACTGAGAATCCTGAGATGATCTTATTTTCTGTCTTTACTTCACTAACTTTTCACTAAATCTGAATAAAGAAAACTTAAAGGATGAGAAGAGATAAGAATTAAAAGAAAATGCAATTCAGAGTTATGTCATGCTGAAAGTTGAAAAATATTTTACACAGGTAAAATTTATATGAATGCACCAAGACGCAAATTTTCTGATAAAGCAATCCAAGTCAACCTGGGAAGTTTTAACAGAATTTCAACAAGTTCTCTTGTAGTGAATACAGAAGGAGATTCTTCTATTTATCCACCCTGTAAAGTTACAGACCTTCATGCTCGTTTAGAAAACAAAACAATAGTCTTGTCTTGGACAGCTCCAGGAGGTGACTTTGACAATGGAAAAGGTGAGTCAGACACTACATTTTTCTGAGATGGGGTTGATATTTTGTCTGAAAGGACATACCCTGAGGACCAACACTCAACCTGAAAACATAACCAAACAGAAAGACAATCTTTTGCATGATACCTGTTTTAGTTGTCCTGTTAAAAAACAAAACAAAACAAAACAAAACAAGGAAACCAAGGAATATTATAAACAAATCAAATAAATACATTAATATATAACCACTAGAGACTTTAGCAACAAGTCTTAGTCCATGTCTGTGCATAATTAAAAAAAAAAAATGCACCAAACCAGCCAACATGGAGAATACAAACCTTTAATCTATTTACAAAGATGTAAATGGACTATAGAGATGCAGTAACGTTCTATCCAGAATACTCATTTTAAGGTTGTTGTACAAGAAAAATGAAACTTAATTCCAGATGAAACATACAAACATTTCCTCGCATAAACCAGAGATTATATGTTAAAATATAAAATGCTACAAGTTATGATGATTACAGTTTCAGATGAAAACTTTACATTTATCTAAAATTTTTAATAACCAGCCACACAAGGAAAAAAGAACCCAAAAAATATTTCTCAACTTCTTTTATTGCTATTTAGCAACTATATGTCTAAAAACTTTTATAGCTAAAGTAGCCAGTTACTGCATTATAGTTTAAGGTAGCAGGTCCTGCACTGGTTTGGAGCTGGGCATATCATGCACATCTGTACTATCTAAAGAGGAAAGGGTATAAGAGGAAGAGAAGGGGAAGAGGGGAAAGTCTTGAAAAGCTACAGACTTTAAATAGAAACAGCAGAACCCCAGGGAATTAATCAAATGCATTCATAGCAATGTAACTACAAGTTCTTTGACTACAAATGGGAGAATCATTTTGTGTCTTTCACAGTTTTTGCTATCAAAACCTCATGCTGATAGAGAGAATACAAATCAGCAAGGCCCACCCCTGCTATCTACAAATATATTTTAATTGCTATTTCATCTTATGTTTGTATTTTGACAGCACAGTTTCTCATTCAGCTACATTTTGCACAGGTCTGCACAAAGGTAAGAGTGTTGGTGAAACAATATTTTTAAGGTGGATTCAATTTCCATTTTTAATTGAAAAGGAGTTCCCAGACTCAGCAACAATTGACCTTTGACACTGTAAAGTAAGGTTTAAAAGCGAACTTACCAACCCTCCATGCTGAGCAATAGTCAGTAGTAAAAGAGGAATCACCAGCACATTTTTTCACAAAATGGGTCTTGAAGTCCTACGCTGTAACCACAAGCAGGGATATTAAAACATCGTATTAATTTGTTGTTAATGTATGTTCTTTTTTCCCTAGCTGATCACTACATAATAAAAAGCAGTGAAAATCTTCTGGACCTAAGAAATAACTTTGATCATGCCACTTCCGTGAATTGCTCTAATCTCATACCTAAGGAGGCTGGTAGAGAAGAATTTCTTAAAATTAAACCAGAAAATTTCATAACAGAAAATGACACCATAATCTACTTTGCTATACGTGCTGTTGATGATACCAGCTTGATTTCAGAGGTGTCTAATATAGCACAAGCCACATGGTTCATTCCTCCAAAAGCTTCTGTGCCTTTAGATTATGATGACAACAATAATGGTGCTAACAGTCCAGTAATAGTAGCAATAGTAGCTGTGTGTGTAGTAGTAGTCTGTACTATTGTAAATTTAACTCTGTGTGTTTTACAAAAACAAAAGAGAAGACTGGATATTGAAACAATGCAAAAGCATGTGTAAAATAAAATAAATAGAAGGAATTTAATGTAATTTTTGCTACACAAGTTTTAAAGTAGGGAAAGAGGTATTTGTATATTCAAAGAATAAGTGCACAGATTTTAAACAGATGTATTTGTCTTTTCTGATAGGCTTATAGATGTAGATTTTCAAAAGTGTGTCTTATATTCAAGAACATGTACACTGATTAAGTGTATAAAGGTGAAAGCACATACTCAGAAATAAAGTATCACATGTACCGTATATTTAACTCTTCTGTTGCAAGATTTTTCCAATGTAGTGTGGTGTTTTTCTTAAATAAAGGAGGCAAAGGACAATACTTTTCTTATTTTTATTCTTCACATAACATCAAGCAAGGCATGGTGGGAAAGAGATTAGAAAAATCTTCAAGTAATGCAATGACTTCCTGTGTATCATTCACATGTTTTCAGTTAAGCTTACTGAGCCAAGAACAAAAATATATACCACCAGGTTAATAAAAAAAATATTTAAAATTTGTAACACCAGACTGATTAGTTTTCAAAAAAATATTTAAAGTATGTCTATCCATACGTGTATGGAAGAGTTGAGTATATAAATACTTTCAGAATGAGTTGCAGAGCACATGGAAAATTTTCCTAGGTGGAGACTAAACAAAGCTATAAATTTGGAGCTACAACAAACCTTTATAAAACAAGAGGTAATTTTAAAGCTGCTAATGGAGAAGGATTGTGAGGGATATAGGGTGATCTATATGACTCGGGTTGCTGTCCTGGGTTGCAGTGCATTCTATTACCATCCTCATGAGCTGTCGAAATCAGGTGGGCAGTGTTTCCTTGCCTCACCCCCGACCCCCAGACTATCTTTCTGTTAATGGCCCATCAATGCCATGCAGCATGACTCATTATCTCATTGTGAGATGCTCCACCCAGAGGGAGAAACCAAGCATTCCATCCAGGATATAATCTGAGATTCTGAATACCGGAGACGCTCTTTTTTCCACTGGATTTCCAGAGGACAGGAGCTACTTAGCCACCACTGGACTTTCTGAGGAAGAGCAGATCTTCTTTCTGCAGGATCATCGCTTCGGGGAAACTGCAGCCATCACCTGACTCTGTTAGTTTAACCCAGTATTATCTACCTTTATAACTTTTTAATTTTTTTTTTATTTCCCTATTAAATTGTTATTCTGACTTGGTGTCTCTCACTAGTTTGTTTTCAAAATAGCACAATTGCTGACTGACAAATTAACAACTAGCTCAAACCAGAATGCTTTAGACTGCTTACATGGCCAAGTATGTAGAGGCCACATCTCTGCCTTCCAAAAAAAAATTAAAATGTACAATAACAATGAAAAAATGTTAAATTCAGCAGTCAAATTATCATTGACAGGCTAGTATTACCCAGTAAATATACCATATCTAGCAAACATGAGTATTTTCATTTACAAGCTTGATACTATTAATGTAATTTCTGATAGTGGAAATTACACTTCAGAACCAATACACAGTTTCTGTAATTAGTATAATACGCACCCTCATCAAGTTTGCTGATGACACTAAACTGGGTGGGGAGGTGGATATGAGAAGGGAGAGCCATCTCACAGAGAGACCTCGACAGGCTGGAAGAGTGGGCTAGCAAGAACAGCATGAAGTTTAACAAAGAGAAGTGAAAAGTCCTGCACCTGCAACGACATAACGAAAGAGCCTGGTACAGGCTGGGCTCTGAGGCTGGGGAGCTGCCTTGCTGAGAGGGACCTGGGGGTACTGGTGGACAACAAGCTGAACACGAGTCAGCAGTCCACTGCTGCTGCAACAATAAAAGCAAATCAGATTCTGGACTGCATCTGCAGGGGCACTGCTAGCAGAGAGAGAGACGTGGTCATCCCATTCTACTCCGTGCTTGTCAGGTTGCACCTACTCTGTCCAGTTCTGGTCCCTACAATTCAAAAAAGGTGCTGACAGACTGGAAGAGGCCTGAAAGGAGGGACATGAAGATGATCAAAGGGCTGGAGAACCTATGAGGAAAGACTGAAGGAGTTAAGTCTCTTCTTCCTGGACAAGGCTCAGCGGACATCTCATCACAGTATTCCAACAAAGAGGACAGAGGCTCTCTCTTCACAAGGAGCCACATGGAGAAGGCAAGGGTCAGTGCGTACAAGTTGCAGTAGGAGAGGTTTCATCTTGATACAGGAAAGAGATTTTTTTCAGTAAGAACAATCAATCACTGGAACAACCTCCCCAGTGGTAGTCTCCATCACTGAAGGTTTTCAGGATGGAACTAGACAGGGTGCTAGGTAATCTCATTTAGACTCCCCTTTCCACAAAAGGTTGGACCAGATGGTCTTTCAAGGTCCCTTCCAGCCAGAGCTGTTCTATGATTCTGTGGCTTTCCTGTATACACCAACAAATCTATGCAAATGTTGAATAATCATCTTATGTTTTCTCCTCTATATTCACATCTGAAACATCAAAGTTTGCCCTTTGTTCTACTTTATCTTTTCTATTTTAACAGCACCAACTTTTTAATATTTTAATGGAATTTCTCTACCTTTCCTATACTTTCCACTAGTTCAGCTTTTTCTTTGTCTAAGTTTCCCATTTTCTGTGGGTTTCTGTACTTTGAATGGATCACCTCTTAATGAACTTTACTATTGGATGCGTTTTCAGATCTAATATTCCTTTTCCCCAAGTGATAATAAATGTCATAATTTCAGTCATATCAAGGGCAGAATAGCTGTCACATTTTAGAGTAGAGACACTCCTTTGGAGAAGAGAGTCACAAATCAAAGCATTACTTGCTGCTATCATTCCCTATAATAGTTTTTAGTTCACGGAATGTCTATTTATTCAGAAATATTTCCTTTTATTTGTTTCTTATTCCATAAAGTATTTCTGCTGCATGCAAATCGGTAGGAACTACATCATACAATCAGAATAAATGGGCTGCATCACTGTTCCCAGGACTATTTCCTAGAGCTACGTAAAAATGAGACAGACTTTACATAGCCAGTCTCCATGCTCCAAGCCAGCTCCTTGTTACTCTGAAGCAACCCAAGCCGGCCTGGCTAGCGAGCAGAGCTGCAGTAGTCTCTCGTGTGGCGACACTGACATCTAGTGGGCTCCAACAACACCTCCGGTTTTCCCAAATGTTCCAAAATCCGCTTAGATCAAAGCATCTCTCTGGGACTCTCTGACCTTCATATAAATGCATATTTAAAAGCACAATCAAATACGAATAGCTGAAGGTTTAATTTAGCTCTTAAGGCTGGCTCTTATACAGGCATGAAGATTTATATGAATTATGAGCTTCAGTTTACTGAGCTCTGTCTTTAGTAAAAGCTCTGAAGAACTCAGTTCAAGTAATGCAGGATTCAGCACTCCCCCACACACCTCTGCAAAAGGCAAACAACATTTGCTCTTTCATGCTTCCTGACAAGCAAGTGCAAAATGACAGGGTAAGACTGACTGTTTTAAATGTTTACACTAACAATATGTATGCTCAAAAGCTATGTGGGCTGGGGTCTCCGTCGCTGACACAACTGCCAGTTCAGACGAGATAGAGAAGATGCAATAGTTAAAGTCAAAACTGTATAAGCTTTGTCCCTCAATATGGTCTTCCCAATACTCTTAAAATAATTTCAGCTTACAGTTTCCTACACAGACCTCATGGCGTTCCACAGAAAAGAGAAGTTTCATTATTCCTATGCCACGTGTGGAGAAACTGTAGTACCATGCGCTGAAGTGACTTTCTCATGGTCATCAGCAGGAAAGTGGTAGAGCTGCAAATATACCTCCAGTCATTAATCATCACACAGTATATGGAAGAAACCCCAAAACTTTATTTTTTATTTCCATAGGGGCCAGTTACAGCCTATAGAATTTTCCATATAATCTTCCTCCAAGTATTAAGATAGACAGCTTCTTCCAAGATAGACAGCTGGGGTATGGGACTAAATTATCCTGCCTGGGTATCAAACCAACCCACTATGGCTCCAGGAAGTATGTTACTGAAAGGACAAAGATAACAAAACCAACACATGATTTACATAGTCCAGTTCCCTGAAATTTCAGGACTTTTGCCTACCAAATATTTTGCCAGTTGCTACATGCAGTCCTAGTTCAACTCCAGTTTAAGCGTTTAGGGAAGTACAGCAACAGCTGCTGTAAGGATCAGTGGAAGAGCGCGCTAACATGAAAAGGAGCATTAATTCTCACTCAGATAGCTGTAGTTTCCAAGCGGAAGTGTGCTGTCGAAAACAGCTGCTTTCTGGTTCTGTCAAATCCAGTCCCCAGATTTTTCATGAAAGCCTAATTGTACACAGGCCAGGCAGCTGGCACTTCTGATTTTATAATCTTTGCCTCATTACTATCAAGCTAAGCTCACAGTTCCTAAAGTTGGCACAGAAGCTATAGAATCACACACAAACAAATGCCCTTACCTGTTTTAGTAAAATAAGCTTTGACTATTAAATAGAGGTAAAATCTAATAATGTTTATTTAAAATGACACATTCTGCTCCTCTTATTTTTATATGTCTTTTTACTACATTAATAAATGTTAAATCAAATTTACCTTCAGATTTTCACACACGTCTGTTTTGAAAATCTGGTTCCAAGATTACTGCTATTCTTCAAAGTATTAGCTAGAGTTCTGCAGAGTTGTGACTAGTAATACATTGGCAGAACTCTTCATTTCCCCCTGGTTTACTGTATTAAAAGATGACAAATATGTAAATATTCATAAAACAGTTGTTTTTATGCAAATATATGCTGCAGTTACTTAAACACGAGTGGGAAGGGGAATAGTGTATATACACAGAGTGACACAATATGTGATCTTATAACTCAGTGTATTATAGAACTAAATATGTATGAATTCCAACATGGGTACTACATTATTGGGATTACATATGCTATCAAAATGTGTTTGTTGATGTTACTGTGTTTTCACAGTGATATAAACTGACTTATGGATGCATTTTTGGGTTGTCTTTCTTAAATCTGTGACTCCAAAGGCTTTCGTTCAAATACTACTTTCCCATAAAGTCAGAAAGCAGTACTGGGAGTCAGTTCAGAAGCATTTCAGTTACAAGCTATTATTCTTTATATATATTTTATTTTCTTAATTATACTATAAACCTCTATATTAATATAATTTTGGTTGGTTGATTGATTTGGGGTTTTTTTTTGTAACTCTGTAAGGTTATGGTCCAAGACTTGTTAGCATCAAGGAAAGAATACTGTAAGCACTCCCAATGGGTGGACCTTAATGGCAAGGTCAACAAATAAAAATTGACATTATTCTATCAAGCCATTCTGAACCATACTAAACTGTGCTAAACCTACAAATGACCTTAAAGAATGCTCAAGATTCCACACTCCTTCAATCCTTTTGATTTTCATCAAGCTTTTCAAGAAAAGTCTAATGACAAGAAATAAAAACTTAAAATTTCTTCACAGATAAGGCTGACAGAAGCAAAGTTAGTACAGTTAGTAAGAGTGACTGTGCTGCAGCATCTAGTTATTCAACCTACAGATCTCAAGCTTCTTGCCCTATTTTACAGTGTATTTGAATGTAACACTTTGCTGCAAAACTTTACACCTACATGATCAATATTTAGGCATACAAATGTAATGATCTAGAGAGGGATAAAGGGCTAGAACTACAGCAATTCTAACTGTTGGTCTTATCTGCCTCCCACTTCGGGACATCTTAATCAGAAATCCTCAAAGCCCTCACCCAAATTATTACCAAGTAACAGTATTGAAGTTCTCTATATAAATTCTACTTCCGATCATAGGCAGAGATGTTCCAGGGTCTGTTTATATCCAACAGTCAATTCTGTAAAAGGTTATTTCTTCTTCTTGGAGATGTTATAAACAAGGCCAAAAATCAGGCAGTAGGCAAAGTATGATGGTCACCATACCTGCTGGTGCACTGATCACCCACCTTTTTCTTAATCGACAGAGATGAGAGGACACGGGATGCTTCAATTTATTTTTCAGCCTGAGATGTTTCTGTAGATTCTCTTGTGGCTTATACTTCAGTACTATTACAAGTGACCGTCCTTGCTGTCTACCCTACACTTCTGAAGGAATATGCTGTTCCTCCAGCACAGGTGGCAGAAATAAACATGCTGACTCCTCAGCTGTTTGCAGATGATTTTATTAGAGTGTGCTAGGGTATCTCCACACATGGTACATTCTTGGAATATACCTTCAGATCTCTCTAGGTCAGTACCTAGTTTGTAACTAGGCCCACTTACTGGGTATGGCTCTCCTTACCTGAGCCAGATGTATGTTTAGACTGAAACAAAATCTCTGACTATGTTTTTGGCTCTGAATAGCAGCCATAGAGAGGGACCACATTTACTACTAGAAGCAGGTATTGAAGCTTCCAGTAAAGACAGAAAAGACAGCCTGCATGTGGTAATTTCTTAAAATGATAACAGGTATGTCCAAGATTCAGCTGTTAACACCTGAATGCCTGTTCCTTCTGATGCCAAAAAAATTTCCAGAGTTTGTCCTGAACATTACGTTATAGGCCTACAGGGTGCAGAGGAAGAGAATTTCAAGAAAAGGAATAACTCAGTAGTGTTTTAAGAGTAACAGAATACTGTGGAACTCAGAAAGCATGGAGTTCCAGTTTGTGACCCAGTAACTGAATTTATTTTTACACTGTAGGATAAAGTGGTGAAAAAATTATCCAAACTGGGGTTTTATATGAAATATATAAACATGAAGTAGAACAGATCTTCCTCTTAGATAAGTGTAGCAACTATTAGTCTGAGGGGTTATTTTTTCCCTGTCACTCATACTTTGACTGCTTAAACATTCATGAAAATGGGAAGGATGTTAAAAGTGAGAACTGAAAAAACACATCCAATGCCCCACATATGCCAAACAGCCCATCTGCTAAAGGTGGAAGTACCGTCTACTTAAGACATTTTCTGCAGAAATAGTACTGTTCTGTTTAGGGCTCCCTAGGAAAGCAGCAATTAAAAGTAGGTATTTCAAATCCTACAAGAACACTCTAACCCATGGGGGCTTATAGGATGTGAGTTTTCTTCCTCGTCATCCTTCCAGGTTATGCTAGAAAGGAGAGGTATCTAACCATTTTCTGAAGGAAAAAACTGTCTGGATGGCCGGACCCAAAGAGTTGTGGTGAACGGAGTTAAATCCGGTTGGTGGCCAGTCATGAGTGGTGTCCCCCAAGGCTTGGTATTGGGGCCACTCCTGTTTAACATCTTTATTGATCATCTAGACGAGGGGATCGAGTGCACCCTCAGTAAGTTTGCAGATGACACCCAGTTGGGTGGGAGTGTTGATCTGCTCGAGGGTAGGGAGGCTCTGCAGAGAGACCTGGACAGGCTGGAGCCATGGGCTGAGGCCAACTGGGGGAGTTTCAATAAGGCCAAATGCCGGGGGCTGCCCTTGGGCCACAAAACCCCCCAGCAGGACTACAGGCTTGGGGAGGAGTGGCTGGGGAGCTGCCAGTCAGAGAGGGACCTGGGGGTATTGATTGACAGCCGGCTGAACAGGAGCCAGCAGTGTGCCCAGGTGGCCAAGAAGGCCAATGGCATCCTGGCTTGTGTCAGCACTAGCGTGGCCAGCAGGGACAGGGAAGGGATCTGACCCCTGTACTCGGCACTGGTGAGACCGCACCTCGATTCCTGTGTTCAGTTTTGGGCCCCTCACTACAAAAAGGCCATTGAATGACTCCAGCGTGTCCAGAGAAGGGCAACGAAGCTGGTGCAGGGTCTGGAGCACAGGTCGTAGGAGGAGCCGCTGAGGGAACTGGGTGTGTTTAGTCTGGAGAAGAGGAGGCTGACGGGAGATCTCATCGCCCTCTACAGCTATCTGAAAGGAGGTTGCAGAGAGCTGGGGATGAGCCTCTTCAACCAAGTAGTAAGCGATAGGACAAGAGGTAATGGCCTCAGATTGTGCCACAGAAGGTTTAGACTAGATGTCAGGAAGTATTTCTTTACAGAACAGGTTGTTGGGTGTTGGAATGGGCTGCCCAGGGAGGTGGTGGAGTCCCCATCCCTGGAGGTGTTTAAGAGTTGGGTCAACTTTGCGCTGAGGGATCTGGTGTAGTTGGGAACTGTCAGTGTTAGGTTAATGCTTGGGCTGGATGATCGTCAAGGTCTTTTCCAACCTAGACGATTCTGTGATTCTGTGAAAAAGAGGAGCACCAAGGCTGACAGTCAATATACCACAGTAAGCAGCATCTTCCTCTCTGGCAGGTGAGGCTCAGATGTCATGGGCAGCATCAGGGTGCAAGCTTCAGGGAAGAACTAGCAGTATTTTGTTTTGGGAAGAGCTGGACCGTGTTGGTGGCCGTAACTTTCCAGCCTGAACATACCACTCTCCCAAGGCATTACTGGGGTACATCTCTCCTGAGCTGGTGCTTCTGCCTCAAGGTCAGGCACTGCTGCTCTCAGCTGTTTGGCAGCTCCGTCTTTATGTGGAACTCCACCAACGGGAACTGCTGATGCTTAGTGACAATGAAGGTTATGGAGAGATATACTTGCATATGTGTGTTCAAATTTAAAATCTTTGATGTTGCTGTCTTTTCACATGTCCTACACTGATATCACAAGAAATTGTAATCAGCTCTTATATGACCATGTAGTGCTGAGCATTGCAAGAGAGACTCATGAGACCTTTATATACCAGTAAAACTCATTTTAAGAAATGGAAACAAACTTGCCATATAGTTTTTATGTACAAATACTTACACCCATCTGTGAGACAATAAAAGCTGAAAAAGGTAAAATGTATTCAAGCAAAGCAAACCCATACACACAATAACTTCCAGGCCCTTTCCTTATCACTGCTAACGGTACAATGGGAACTTTATAGAGCCTGGGTTTTGTTTTGGTTTTAATTCCTGGACTGGTGTGTGAGCAAGATTGCTTTGATTGTTAGAGTTACTTCCTTTCTCTGAAATTCACTTCTTGTCATAATGCCATAGGATTTCCTCTAACTTTATCAAATTTAGCCAAACATTACTTACTATTTGGATTATGAGGTATATTACTTAACTGAATGACCAGGATCATTTTCAAGCTGGAAATATTAGCTTGTTGCCAGTGATGCCACATTGTAAATATTTTCTAATTGCTAGCCCACGTCAAAGATCCCTTCTTTTCTTCTTGAGCATTTGAAAATCATGATGTTAAAATAATGGAAATTGTTGAAATTAGAGACTGTTTTCTTCTTTTAACTTCCTTGATTGCTACCATTAATACCATACCCAAGGTGTTTCGGATACTGCTGCCTTTGTGATGTCTTGGTGCTACTTTATAGTTGCAACCTAGTATACACTTACCGAAACAAGCTCTTTTAATAAACTGCCTTTTTCGAAACGATTTCTTAAAAATTATTTTCCCAGCATTTTCACAGCCTATCTGAAAACTACTTTTCATGAAGACAACATCTGACTTACAAAATTCTGGCTTCAAGAAATGGGAGCGGGAAGGGAACTTGTCCTCTCAGAGCCGGGTCCAAGGCTGCCAGCCCCGCCGGGACAGGCCGGGCCGCACCTCCCCGGG